AAGAAGAACTTGTAAAGTACATATTTAAAAATATGAAAAGTTCGTGTCCCGGCATTTATCTCCTAAAATGCGGCGCAAAAATGTGTTTCGTGCTCCGCGCGAGCCGCTGCCTGCAGCTCTGTCGGTATGCAAATCTTGCATCACATGTCCGCGCTACGCGTCTCTGATTGGTTGTTGCGTCAGTGCCGGCGGTAAAGCTCGATCGATCTGACGCGCGTGTAAACAATTTTCTTTGCTCGGAAATAAGCGCTAAAAAGGTTATTTTCCACGACTACACATCGGTACTCAAGTGAAGAAATGCATAATCAAAAGAATCTTTAGGGAAAATATATATTCCTAAGCAAATTTATGCCGTCTTCGGCGAGATTTTGTCGTTCAAACCGAACCCGGAAGTATGCAAAGGTCGCCTTCGGTAGGCTCACGCTAGCGTTTCTATCGAGCAAAATAAGAAAAAAAAAAAAAAACTTCCGCAAAAGAGAACCAAATAACATTTCCCAGATACCATCAGTTATATTTTTCATCAAAATATTTGTAGATTTGCCCGATGTGCCCGCAATTTTCGGGCGCCGGGCGCGCATGGCCAGCGCTAGTAAGATTTTTGTCGGGCGGTACCCGGTTAACACGGCCAGTGCCACAGTTATCGCGATTCGGTGTCTCATAATATTATTTTTGACATCAGTATGACACTATGACTTAACTAATTTTGATACTCAACAAACTGTACGTACATTTGCTTAAAATAAAGTTGATTTGGAGTGATTTGTGGATCGCGTGTGTTATCAGTTGTGTTAAATCGGTTAAACTTGAGGACCGTCGTGAACGCATGTAACACAGTTAACACATTACAATTACGCAAAACATATTCGCGGGGAAATAGATTCGCGGTACAAAGGTCCCCGCGAATTCCGCGAATCTAAATATACCGCGGAAATTTGTAGACTTACAATATATAAAAAGAGTGTATGATTAGCATTGAATAATCAAAGACTCATCCTCACCCTGTAATTTAAAGTACATTGTCTTAAGACTTTGCTATGTAAAATCATAATAGTGGCATGAGTAAAAGTGTAGAATGTAGAGAGTTCTTCCAAATCATAGCAAAAGTTACTGACAACTTGTAGAATTGCAGATAGGCAACAAAAAAAGTATTTGAAGCCCTGTTGTTTAGCACACTCAGAGGGGCAGGAACAATGGCAACTCGGTATCCTGATTGTATCTGACACGTACCCCGCAGCGAGATGTACCTACTCATGTGGTATGACAACTTCATGAGTTCTGACTGGTGGGGGGGACGACCTTTGCTAGATAAGTGGGAATAGATATATCAGAGCTATAAGACTGTGTTCACATACTGTAAATCGCTTTTTTAAGTTCAGGGGAAAGGAGTCTTTCGCCATGTTTTAAAGTTTGTGGTTGAAACAGCACAGTTGTATACTATTAGTAGTAACTTAAAGATAGAACATACATGTAGTTTGCAGTGTCTTGAGTTTCTTGTTGTAAGAGATCACTGCAAAAACTGCGAACATAAAACCACTCCAAATATTTCACAGTACTTCTGTATAGTTTTGCACACATTTCTTTGACGCAGTCAATATTTCATGGGGAAACTTTATTTAAGGTAATACATGTAGTTATAGTATGAGTGTGGAAATGTTGATTCACTTTGGCGTTACGAGACTAGGTAGTATATTAGAGCATGACAATTCTATTTTTCATTAATCCAACAACAGTAACGGATACAGAATCTTAACTTATTCCACAGACGTTTTAAACGTCCTTGCATGTTCTATGTTCACTGTCTGTGAAGGTTCATTGTGATTTATTACTTTGTCACGGGTAATTAGCCTTTGAGCATGAAATTGCATTAAAGATTAAAGATGATGGCTATTTCAGGTATTATAGGTTTTCATGTGTGTTGTCACCTGCATATGTGGTATACAGGTATAGAGGGAAGACACTTAATGTGTGTACAACAGTGGTCCAGCACCCTTTGAGATGAAATCCTGATGTTACTGACTCCAATGTAGATTGTACAGGTCAGTTTCTTGCCACTAGATGTGTGTCAAGATGTGCTTTTGAGAGTCCCAGGTACTGTTTAGCAACCTTCAAAATTGTGTATACATGTACATTGTAGTGGAGTACTAGTGTAAAGTGACCTGACTCATCCAATGACTTACTGATAGAACAGTTATACACAATTGTAGCGAAAGTGGACACAATCAACAGGTGGTCACTATAGAGAGGAAGTTGGTCAAACTGCAGTCAAAAAGTGACCACACTGATGTAGTGCAAGTTTAGCTTTAATACCTATATTTATAAACATTTCTTTGCACTGCCATGATGTTCATGGTGTATGAACCATGAACATAGTTTAGTGAATCATACAATGATATCTGCATATATTCATTTAGACTTTTGAAATATTACAACTGTATTATCGTAACTAAAAACCTTTTTTGACTGCATGCTGAGATAGACTTTTGGCTCAACATTTGTATTCCTTACAAAGACAAGCAAGAAAGTTCAAACTTAAGGTGAATGACTTTTGATAGGAACTTATATTACCGTAGTAACTGTTCTTCTGTATACAAGCACTGTGCTAAGCTTTGATAAATTGGCACAATACGATGGTAATTTTGTTTCTGTATATTTCCCCTGGGCAAAGTGTCTTTTGTTTTTTGATTCTCCTCTGGCAATTCTTCCCACGTCACTGCTGTCACCTCCCCCATTGTTCCTGCTCACACCTATATGAATAATTAAGTATCTTATCACAACATTGGTTTACGGGCGATTACGGTTTGTAACTTGGTGCCACGGTGTCTGTATCCATAGCACATAAAACACATTGGTCAATCGGAGGGCAAAATGGAAGATGATTTGTCTGCTACGTGTGTTACCTTGCATTTCTTGTGTCTACAAGAAACCTTCACAAAAATTTACATACTTGTATATTCAACAGGTTTACAATATAACTTTATAAGCTTGCTGCCTTAAGTTTGCTTTTCAAGGGCTGGTTCTAAGAAGTACCCTAACAAGTGTACTGAAGTGTAACAAAAGAATTGATATATAGCTTAAGTCTATATTGATAACAATAGAACATGACGCTTCATCCACCACAGCAGCTACCACATAGATCATGGAGTTCACCATATACCCGTCATTTCAACAGTTCAGGTGGAGAGTTGTTTGCTAAACTTAATCCTGAAGTAAGTTTCAAGTTGACACCACTTGATTGGTATTTTGTTGGACTAGGTCAAGTATACACTGTCAGATAGTTATTATCTTGTTTTCATCACAAATATTGTTCAAGTATTACAAACAAAAAATTATATTTTTCATTGTACCAAATGAAAGAACAATTTTGATAGACATCACTTAATTGGTATTTTTGTAGGAGGTGTAGGTCAAGTGTGCAGATAGTTCTTATCTTGTTTTATCACAAATATAGTTGAAGTATTATAGCAAATTATATTTTTCATTGTACCAAAGAAAGGGTACAATTCTGAAAGGCATCACCTGATTGTTATTTTGAAGAAGTAGGTCAAGTGTGCAGATAGGTATTTTCTCTTTTATCACAATATTGTTCAAGTGATATAGCAAATTACATATCTCATTGTACCAAAGAAAAGGTACAATTTTGGTATTGTACTAAATACAGTACAATGTATAACCCTTTAATTGAGATCCAGCGGTACTGACAGAAACAGACAGACCAGTAATCAGAAAGAGAGAGTACATGTATATTCACACAGATGAACACAGTCACATTCGCACACTTGAGCTCAACAAGCCCAGCGACATTAGCATGTGAAAATTCCCGTTTTACAGCCCCATTGAGTGGCACCAGGAAAGTTGATTAAAGGCACCACCTGCCAGTTGTGTTTATTTTTCACAGATAAATAATAGATGAGGTGTATGATTACTCCTCATTGTGGGGGTAACCGCCGCTCATCCGTCATTCCGATCACCTGGTGTAATAAAAAAGGAAACTAGAAGAATAGCAACATCATTATACATGTATGATGACCCAGTCAAGGCTGCAACGTGACTATCCTTTTGTTTACAAGGTATAAATCATAAAAAGGAGTCAAACTTCTCAGCTAGTGTAATAAAAAAAGGAAACTGGAAGAATAGCAACATCATTATACATGTATGATAATCCAGTCAAGGCTGCAACGTGACTATCCTTTTGTTTACAAGGTATAGATCATAAAAAGGAGTCAAAGACCTCAGGTGTCCTTTATCTGTATCATCTGTAATATGAGAAGGGCAGGGTATCATATGTGATGACAATGTTTATATTTTGTGCATACATACTCCCATTTTCAGGAGGGACACACTGTCTTTAAGTTATATTTTTTTACTTTAATCTTTTTGACCTTTAGCAGATTAATGCTCTAAAGCTTTAACCTATTGTTAATCTCAATATACACAGTGCATAAATGTGTACTTTGTATAGTGAGGTGACACTTTATATTGATCACACCTGTGTCTATCTGTAGAAATTGTATTGACAGTATAAGCACTATATTGACAGCACTATATTGAACATTACAGTGACACTATTGAAACAGAATGCTATTGTTGTATGTAACAGTAAAGCAAGAAAATATAGAAACTTTGTGTCCACAGAATCTAATTCGATTTTTCACTCGGTAGTTACAATATGGTTATGAAAGAACAATTTTTGAAGTACAGTATTAGCAGAAATGTGCAGATTAGTGATAGCCCAATCTGTGTTCGCATATTCTATTCACAAACCAAAAATCATCAAAGTCCGTCCATCCTTCTTGACATCCCTGTTCACAGCCAAACTATGTGAAAATATAACTACAAATGTAGCATGCAAGATGTTTCAGATGTCATATGCCTATAGCCTGGGTGCCATAATCCAGTTGCCTACTGTCATTTTTGTTTCGTTTGAACTAACATTTCAAGGTGAACATTTTGTTATGTTTCATGTTTGAGTCAATGTCTGTTCCTCTCTGCTGTTCATACAGACCGCACTGGGAGAGGAGGGTATCTCACTGGAGTTTCGGCACATTGCCAGCTACCTGCTGTGGTACTGCACACATTGGACCAATCAGGACCTACTTCATGAAGTCATCCTTATTGTTGGATACTTCACTGCTCTTAACGGTGACAATCAGGTAGGACTCTCTTACTGTACTGTGTGTACCTTACAGAACATGACTGTCACCTAGGCTACATTATGTTTAAGGCGTGGTCGCTTTTGTCATATAATTCTTTTACAAATATCATCACTTTTTCAGTCAACAGGAATCTATAACAATCTATGAATTTAAAAGATAGAGCTAAATTGGAGACATTGTTGATATTAGATATTGCTGATGCTCAACGTATGGATGATTATGTGATTTCAAAATATAAATTGATGCTTTGGCATTGTTTTCCCCAACATCATGCATATTGAATTGAATGTGGATGCTGGAAAAAATAATAATAAAATGTATGGGAATGTTGTTTTCATCTTTAGAGATAAGATGTTAGTGGGAATATCAAATAAAACTTAACTGCTGTAAAGTTTCTTTCCTTGTTCACAAAAAAACATACTGTTTTACAGCACCCTTCTATGCATGAATATGTCAAAATATCATCATATGATTCACAGTAGGGTCAAACCCAGAAGCTTAGGAAAAATTGTGCCTAAAGCTCCCAGTCAATATACATATGCATCTAAACGACACTGTCCTAATACAAGTCCTCAGGAAAAATCGAAAGCAATAAGTCACTTTTGTTGGCCTTACACCTTTGCGTCATCCATCTCTGGAATGGTAACCTTGTCTCTGCCCCTCCCCACGGCCCCAATGTACGGTGTGCGCAGGTTATATTAGAAAGGGTCGAGCCAAGGACACAGGCCTCATGTATTCCATGTCCTTTGCTTGGCTTGATGGTTCCAGACAAACACCCTGCAATCCTGTCCACATTATTCACCCTCGGCTCCCTCACATACATGTGCAGCAGTCTCATCCTGTGGATATGTGCCAGACAAAACATTCTTCATCCTGTAATTCCCCCTGATTTATGTGCATGAATTATCATACATCAACTTTGCTTAATAACCATAGGACACTTCTCTTGTAAATGGCAAAGCTAAAGTGACAAATTACAGAACAAAGAAGATGGGAACTTTAAGTAAACCTGTGGTTTTGTTCTAAAAATGGACAAAAAATTACCGTCTTCATATTTTTTGGTACAATTTCTTCTTTAATGCTGCTTGTAGAAGTGCCTCCTGAAGTATTACAAAATGGCAATGGATCATAATTCTGTAAAATATGCCAATGTACATGTTTATGACAGCAATAGATCTGGCCTCCAAAACATGTATCCCAATATCATTACTGTTGACACCAGGTGTCATTGTCACCCCCCTCCCTCCAACATTCAACTTTCTTTTCAGCTCATAGTCATATTTGCCTTTTCTTCCCCCTTTATTCCTCCCATCTTAAGGCCATGTTTATGAGGCCAGGCCTGACACCTGCAGTAAGTGATACCTGACCTACAGAATGTAGATCATACCTGAAACCTGATACAATCTCCTGGAACAGCAGATTCAATTTGCATTTATTGGAAGATAATAGAATTGAAAATCACTGTGCTACTTTGCTGGTAGCATTTTATGACTTCGGGGAAAAGGCCAGACTGATTCGGTCACTTTGATAACAGATTTTCACTGTCACTTGCAGGCATTGCTTTTTTGAAAGTCATTTTTCCTCTGTTACTTTTTCTTAGTCTTTAAGGCAGAGACAGAAAGTTTGGAGGTGAGTTTATGGTCTGATTGATGACAGTTCCTTCATGAAACATGAGTGTCCGGAGGTGTTTTATTGACAAGCTGTCACATGCTAAGAATGGAATCTATATGTTGAATGTGGTTCAATGAGAACACAATGGTAGACTCTTCTGGTAGTGTATTTTATCATTCGGACATTCCATTCCAGATGGTTTTGTGCAATTTTGAAGTAAAGTAGATTCTTGACAAATAACTATAACTTGAGTTGTGTTATTTGTCCATAAAACAATACTGTACAGTAATTCACTTTATATTCACTTAAGTTTGAGAAAAAGAAAAAAGGAGGTGTTTACTGAACTATATGTTCCCAGTGGCAGCAGGTGCAGAAAAAGAAAGTAGGCAAATTATGTGTTAACGGTAATGATAAGTTCGCGGTTCAAATTCTGAAGTGACAGTACGAAAACCGCAAACATAAAAGTACCCCCAAAAAACAGGAATTACAGTATCTGATATGAAATAGAGAAATATCAAAATGCAAAGTTTTGTTCTTGTAAAATTGCCCCTTGCTTTGTTAATGTACACAAAACACTTTTCAACCCTCCCAGTGTCATGGCCATCGTCTGATTATAGTGATCAATTCTGATTGGCCGTGACACTGAGAGGATTAAAGACCAGCCATACTCCACTCTGTGCAGCACCCAGCTCCTGTTATCAATCAGAACAGGTGCAATGAACCAACTACAACAGACCTTTTGTCTACAACAATACTTTTCACATTGTTTTGAGACAGTCAATGCTAGGTTACACATTGTGGGTTAAATTTGACCCTTCCAATAGTCTATATCAGATTGTGAAATGTTTTGTTTTTTTAGTAATCAATGCTTATAATTATGACAGTGAATATACAAAAGATAGTACTGACAGATTTAATAGCTTTCCTAAAGTATGAAGAGTTTCTGTTTATATGGGAGGGGGGGAGAGAAGTTTTGGTACTTTTTCTGTACATGTCGGTATGATCCGTTTCTACTATAAGAATCATGGTATATAGTGATAAGGATGTAGTAATCACACATAGCTTTTAGAGCTTGTTCTATGATTGCTGATGAAGTTTTGGACTTACATGTATATACATGTACAATCGTGTATTTCTCAGATGATATAGTGTAGCAAAGTTGTGAATACTGGTTATATGAATGATTCTTAGCTTTCCATTATTTGCCAAGTATATAATCTATAAGCTGTGCAACTGAGGTGCGGAGCTTTGTGTATATTATAATATAAATTTGGCTCTATCACAGGCTTCCTGCCCATTCAGTGGGGCCTCTAATCAGCTGTCATGTTAATGACACGCTGCCAAAAACTTTGCACGCCAAGGTGGTAGTTAAGCCTCCTGCATGGGGCCCACTCCTGTGGTACGGAGGTGTTTTGATGATGCTTTCAGCTCTCTGCACATCTGCTTCACTTTGCATACAGCTGATTCGTGGTTCAAACACTGCGGATCTTTTTAACTTGACAGTTCATCTGTGTCAGTAGAAAAATCATTCTGAAGCTAGGTTGAAAGTAGTTTCCAACAAACAAATTTTAACCTATATTACATTAAGTCCAATTTTTGTGTTGGAAATTACAGTTGAAATGCTTCAGACTGCCATCTTTAGGCGCATTTTTACCACATCAAACTTAAAAGGCCCCTATTGTAGGATTTGGTCCAAAACTGTAAAATTATTCTCAATGTTTCCATCTACATGTATTATACAACTTGTTCAACATCATCTTATCAAACCTTAAGTGTTTATCTATGGCCAAAAGATGGCCAGTACATTATTGTAGACTAGTGCAGTAAACAAAGATAGTTTGTAAACAAACCCCACATTCATACAGCACAGTGACATCATATTTGAACTTGAATATTGCTTGGCAATATCATAAGGTACATAAACCTGTTTTGTAAAGAAATGACCCAAACATTGACTTTTAGGTCCTTCAAATAACAGTAGAGGCCTTTAATCTACATGTAGAGAAGCCACAGATTCATTTTAACAAAGAGGGTCTTTTGTTATCTGGACCAGGAGACTTTTGCAGGTTTTTTCCTATTGAGTAGGTAGTTTTTGTTATACATGTATCAAGAGAAAGAACATTCAGTACTAAGGAAAGACTAGACTTGTCTGACTCTGAGTGTCAAGCAGAGGTCAGAGGCAGTGAACCAGGTCATGTAAAGCCCTGCACCAGTCTGTTCAGGAGTTGTGAAATTTGTAGATGGATCAGTGTCAGTCCATGCTACAGTGGACAGAGTCATCACGGTGTAACAAGACTGGCCAATCAGACGTGTCCATAGATGAACAGATGGGGGGGACATACCGCATCATGGCCTGAAAAGAAACCATCTGCCATAAGCCATCCTCACAGACCCTTTCTTTAAAAACATGCTAATTGATGATAATTGGTTGACCATAGGGACCTCGATAGTTACACGGGTGCACCCCACATCCCCCCATGACACACAGTTTTGTTTTTATTTGATAACTCTATTATGGTACAAAATCCTTTTCAAGTGGTCAGCTAAGTACTGACAATTTGGTCTGTGTTTGCTGTGGATGTGGTCAAATCTTGATGAACTTCTTTCGGGAAAGAAGTATTAAGCATTTTAGCCTTTTATATACATTTTCTACACAATTAATTAAATGTATTGATATCAATTTATTCACAATATAGATACTTGAAATGTTTGCATATATAGGCTTTAGATATTAAGAGACCGTACGAATTTGCATCTGTTTGAATCTGAAGTTATCAAATTCTGAAATTCAATGTAGCACATGTACAAAATGTACTTTCTTTGGAATCATAGCAAATACAGCATCAAGGACTACAAAAGTGTTACTTCCATAATAAGTAAATGCAATGTGACATTTTCAGTAGTCTTTTTGAATTGATACTATTTTTCTTGCATGCGAATTTGTATATCTTGGATCAGCCAAAACTGCAAATATAACCCAGGACTGCCATCACATGCACGTTTGATCGTAAATTGTCGTGTGTAGGTAAAACTGCAGGTTGTGAGTTTGAAGCATGACTTGTGCTGGTACCTTGTGGTGTAGACATTCATGCGGAGTTATCAGCCGCACCATGGCTGCGGGCCACGGACCTTATCTCCCCCCGCATCTCCCACCGCCTCTGGGAAGGATGATGGGATAGCTCGGCATCCATCTTGTTTCATATTTCCCCCTACCGCTGGGTACGTCAGATCTGATAATGCCCCAGAATCGCTGCTTCAGAAGTCAATACACGGGTTGACAAATTGCCACGATGAAAACTTAACTATCTGCTTGATTCCCAGTGAAGCAATCGGAGATACATATTTATTAACTTGCTCCTGGTCACAGATTTTTTTCCTGACGTTTT